AAGTATGTAAAGGTATACAGAATGGTCAGTCGGGTAACAATGGTCAGTCGGGTAACAATGGTCAGTCGGGTAACAATGGTCAGTCGGGTAACAATGGTCAGTCGGGTAACACTGAAGGGGGTTTCATGCAACACTGACTTACGGATTCATACTGACAGAAATGTTCACAAATGAAAATTTTGCTTACAAATTACTGAATTTCATTTCAACTTGTACCCTGGTTTTTTGTTTGACATATTGTATTACATAACCATCTACAGAGCATACCACAGGCCGTCATTAAGTGCAATACCATGCAAAATGCCCACTATCCCCAAGGGCAATATAAAAAGTTATTTCACCATGTGCTTGATTACATGCAGCACGGCCTTCACCAGTGCAAAGTGCACCTGGCACTTTATGGGCGGATCTCGTGTGCAAACATGGCCAAGGGCCTTTGAACGTGACACCAAGGTGGCCTGACGGACCATTGCACGTGAAAAAAAAAGAAAGAAATCGAAAGTGCGCCTTATCTTATAAAAACAGACCATAGCTTTGATCAACCCCACCAAAGCAAATCATAGGTATCACACAGCACTAATATTGAGGACCCGTGCTAAAGGGTTTGGGGAAAATATCTAATCATGATTATTCTGACAGATATTGCGATTGCAATTTGATTTGCCATATTTTTTGAAAGACTAGGTTCAATTCAATATTCAATGTGTAATAGATTTAAAACACATGATGCAGAATTACCACATGAGATAGCATCAAAATATTAACTGGTCTATTTCCTAATGCAAGGATGCAAGAATTTAAAGATATGAATTGCTTCCAACATGCATTTATTAGTTTGAACAATCAAACATAAATCAATTATCAGAAAAGCTGTGATTGTGTTAAGTTTAAGTAATAAAAATAAAAAGAAAGCAAATCCAGTAAGGAAAAGTAACAAAAGGGATCCTGCAGCTAAGGCTGCTTGTACCCCTAATAACAGGGCCTTTCTGAAAGCATCACTGGCCATGAAACAGGTAGGTAATTCACTCATAGCTCAGCAGGTATCGATATTTTTTTCACACCACAAATATAATGCTTTCTTTGGGATTCACGTGGGCGTACACTCATTCGCCTTGGGCTACTGCTGATTGGTGAGAATTACACACAAGGAGGACGACATGAATTTGTTAAACTCTCGGGACTTTTAAGCCCTGGGTCACACATGCTGTATAATGCATACCCTAAATCGCAGCCTTTGCAATTCGTTAATTCCGCTGTTTCAAATCACGATTTTGATTTGAAATCGATAAATCGTTCAGCCCTACCGGGGACAATCCAGAATACTGGCATAGAACGCTTCATCAAAAAGACCAAGCATTGAAAGATGTCTCAAAGTTTAAATTCATACAGAATTAAATGCAATGTTGTCTTTTCATGATAGATATGTAATCAACAAGTCTTAACATATATGTAGCCTTAGAAACAGACACACATTGGTTACAGAATGAGTCTGATAAATGACTCGACTGAAGACACCTAGCAGAAGCCAAGCAGAGAACAGCAGCTGGAAAAACAGCGAGGCTGCAGAGACACGACAACCCAAGACACGACCATTATTCAAATAATACCAAGTGGGATAAGTACTGATTGACTGCAGCCAAAACTAACACAACCTGAGGCATGCCTGCACAAGTGGCGGGGGGTGGTGGGGGGGGGATGCATCAACCCTGTGCTGCAGGTGAGGACAAGCTGGGAACAGTGTCCTTAGAGAACCTCAACTGCCCAGGCCACAGTATGACCCGTCATCTCAGCATTGAGAATGTTGGGTTAGCTAACACAGTCAAACGCACCCCAAGGGGCGTTCCATGCGATCCAGACAGGAGCATGGTGCAGTCTGCTCTGGCCCTAAAGCCTCACAGCCAGGCTTAGCTAGCAGTCTGCCCTGTCAGTCTCAGTACATCTGGCCCTGTGCCTTTATTCAGTTCCACCTGTCCTTGAGAGACACTCTGTGCTTTCACTAAAACCTCCTTTGTCAATAAAGTTATACAAGTCAAACAAAAGACATGTACACATGCTAGGGAAAATACTTAACACCAAATCTATAGCTATCAAAAAAAAATAAACTGCTAACATTGGAAAAAAACAAAAAAAAAAAAATTACTCCCGAATAAGCAATAAGCACAGCACCCTTTACATAGCTTACTATTGTGTGCGATACAATGCTATTGTAACCTTTGATGTTTGAACATAAAAGGAACAAAACACTGTAACTGAGATATAATAAAAGAATTTTCGAATCCCTCTCTGCGTATTTTTGCAAAGATTCTTCCAGGAGAGTGCTCTGGACAAGTTAACAAAGACAAAGTATGTATACATGAAATCAAACAATGACTCTGCAGGTCATATACCAGACATATACTAACTTGTCATCCAAAACAGGGGTGATTTTAATAAGTTTCATTGCATTTTTTGTTATTCTAATTATGTACAACCAGCTTTGCGACATACATCGCACATTTTATATGTACATAAGCAACCGTTTCCTACTGCTAATAAATGAGATTTTATTGACGATGCGCACATCAGTTTGGAAACATCTGGCAGCAATTTACAGGTTTGGAAACAACTCGTGAGAAAGGGGAGGTGCACCTACAGCAAGCCACGCACTTTCCAGAAAAAAAGAAGCATGAAAGCAGCGTATTTTAAAGTGTGTCCGTTTTTACTGGTGTAATTTGGAATAAATCAAAACAAAATACACACAGATCATGCGATATTGGGTTTAGCTACTTCATCTAAAGCTTGTAGCTAAATATTCTTACAAATTTAAATCCAAATATTAATCAAACATAGATTTCAAAAAGAAAAAGGAGCCCTGAAATGGGATTTACACCTTTATGTGGAATTTCATCAGAAACCTAAGAATCACATGCGGGTTTGATACATAATAATACTTGACAGGTGCAAAGTTGTCTGTACTGACACACCGGTACACCGGCTAGTTAGCTTTAGCAGAGAAGCCGGTAAAGTCGTAGGATTACACTTATTGTACAACACTAACTACTTAATTAGGTAAAAAGCACGCAATATGTAGCATTTAGATAATCTTTTAAACAAAGATCGAGTCGTTAATAATTCACATTTACGCCACTAAACTAAATGGACACACATGCGGCTAACTGGCCGTCGACTGCCGAGAAACAGCAAACTGATCTATGTAACCATCTCAATGTCTCGTAAACCACTTCGTTGCTTGGTATACACGTTACTAATCTGCCTTTTTAACCGTCACACAAGCACACTAACATAACCAGCAACATCATTCGAAAGCCAGACAACGCTTTAAAAAACGGTAAGGTCACTCAGCCCCACAGCCTGTCAGCTAATAACCGAACCCTGTTCAATTACTAAGGCAAACATCACGCTTTAAATAATTAAAATTCTCACCTCTTCTCAGCTCTTTGTTTAATGACCTGGACGTCTTAATTAGAGGAGACCGGGATCTTGAAAAAAGGATTAACGCCATTGTGGTTTTGTTTCAGTTGAATGATAACTAAATGACGGATACCGCTAGCCTAGCCTAGCTTAGCTTAGCACAGCAGCGATCCTGAGTCACTGGAGCGCCGGTTTCATGTCCTTCCTTCTTGGGTGAGTACCACGGTGCGGCCCTGGCATTCCTCGCTTCCGCGTCTGACTGAAGCGAATCCCAGCAATCCGGGGTGAGTCACAGCGGTGACGGACCGTCACATTCCGCCTCGGCGCTGAACGGCACGGCTTACCGGACAGCACGGAAACCCAGCGACCGCTCGCGTTGTGGAGCGGAGACGCGAGATCTCGCGATATCCGGGAGCACGTGGCATCTTTTTAATGCTACAGTAACAAAAAAAAAATTCACATTGCGGTCATTGCTTGCTGCACATTAGAAAATAGGAAATATTGCGGTTTGTGGGTCGTCGTGCTACATTTTATTACTTATTAACTATTTTGTCTCAGGATAAAAGTACACTTAGACGAAATAAAATGTGTTCCCTGCGACCCTGACCAAAACAAGTGGTTGAAAGATGGATGGATGGATAAGTGTTTTTATTCTACAGTCCCAGTTAAAATTAAAAGAGAGTTACATCTCTTAATTTGTAAGATGTAGAGCGTCACAACGGCCGTAATACTTTCAATCGGAAAGACCACGCCCTACAAAAACGTCCAAGCCGAGGACTGGGTATGATGCAAAGTCTTTTTCTGTTAATGCTAATAAAGTCGTTATCATAAAAATAATGTTCGATATAATTAAGCAAAATAATACTAATGATGTAGGTTGCATATCATTATATAGCGATAAAAATACCCCATTATGAATCTGCCATATAGTTTTTAGCTTGGGTAGAAAATAAAGACGTTCAACTGTAAGTTAAAGAGAACTACACTTGACATGTGAATAAACATATAACTGGGCAGAAATCAGTTTTAAATAATGTGAGTTCTTTAGTATATGCAAAGAAGAATCAGACGTTGATAATGTTATCCTTGTTTCGTACGTTCGGTACAATCAAATAGGGGCTGTGGGTTCGATTCCTGTCTCTGCTTTTTGTGGGTTTCCTTCGTGTACTCCGATTTCCTCCCACAGTCCAAAGACATGCGGTTTACGTGGATTACTGTCATTAAATTGCCCCCGATGTGGGATTGTTGGCGAGTGACTGACTGTCTCCTTGCCTCTGTGACGTACTCTGTGGATACTGTGTTCGCCGCCAAGCTGCAATGGAAAATGGGTGGAAGAGTAACTTCTAAGGCCAATAATAACTGGTATATGCATCGTATATATAACATAAGTAACCCTTGAAATTAACGTTGAATTAGATTCTGTTAATAAATAAAAATTGTTGAAAAGGGGATATCGTTTAGATGATAGTATGTCATTGAACTGTGCTTAGCAAGATCATATGTTCATCATTATTATTATATCTGTTTTATTGATGTACAGCTTACACCTTGCCCCAGCGTTGACAAACACGTAGCCGTTTCGGTAGAGAAGCGCGCCCAAGGCGAGGTTGCCAGATATTCCGATCATCATTCTATTGGTGTTTTTGACAGGTGTAATGAATCAAATGTGGCCAAGATATATGTATACTCACAGGGGCGTAGGAACCGGGGGGGGAGGGCGAACCCCCAATATTTAATTTATTCGGGGGTCACCTCCTCAGCTCCCCCCCCCCCAAAAAAAACCACACCTTTACATTTAAATAATTGTGTCCCCCCAGGATCAAACTCTTCACATTCAGTAACGTTTGAGCATTATTAACTGTATGTGTAAGGCTTTACATACTTTCTTTGCCAAGAGAATTTTAAAAATCCGTTTAATACCTGCATCTTAAATGTACTTTTACGACAACGTTTTCCGTGGGTGCAGGTTGCCTGGAGTAACTCCTGCAGAACTGGCCACGCTGATCGTCTTTTCCATCCGCTTTCGGTCATGTTGCTTTTTGAAGGAACATGACTCGGCTTTAAAATCTCGGGTACTATTTTCAAACACAATTTTCTCCTTTTATTCTACTCCTCAAGTCCATAGTTTTCTGCACATAAAAAAGGCCCTCGTCGCCTTTATTCTGCCTGGACTCTAATGTGCCTTTTTACCAATCTGGCAACCCCGCCACGGCCCTATAGTGTTTCTTTGGTGTGACGTCATGTGAAGAGGCCGTCCTCCGTTTCATTTGTTAAGAATTCGGGTCGCCGCTTCATAGGTTTTCCAGTCGATATACGTCCAGATCTCTAAAACAAGATTTTGAAGTCTGCGTGGACATTGACGGAAATACTAAATGTGACCCGTTCTGCCTTCACATCATACGGAAAAGCGGGAATGTTCTTGTACAGCCGTATAAAGCCTGGGGTTTTTTTTGAAAAGGCCGGTTAAACTCTCCAGAGCTGCCAGCCAATCGGAAGTGAGTATTTTTCGCGCTGGTTGAGAGTATAGATCGCCGCGAGCCTTGATTCGAGTTGTGCGTAAACCTTGCTTTCCGAAGACGTTCATAAAGATGCTCCTAACAGGTTATTTTGTTAATAATGTCTTATGGCACTGTTAGATTACCCGTGAAAATAATACGAATACATTTTCTGCGAAGCAGTAACGGCGGAAAACAGTTTCTTTCCAGTATGGCCACTAGTAGAAGTGACCACAGAGTCCGCACAGGGGCTAGGCAGTCAGCCGTAGTGTTAGCTAGCTGTCGGTTAGTGTGTGTTACGCTCAGCAACATTTTAAACCACATAAATAAAATGATCACACGTTAATAGTTGTACACTTGCACATTTTTGACTGTCCGAAATTGTTCGTAACTCAGGTCAATAGGTATCGGTCCCTTGGCTAGCCAGTAAGCTAATGTGTCGCCGTATTAAAGCCATATTTAAAATATTGCCTGCGGATCGGATGAGATTTTGGGGCGGATGTATTTGTTGAGGTGCTTCGTATTTTACGTGAAATTCCGGGCGCGAATATGAAGGGGGGAGGATGTGTTGACGCTGGTACTTGGCTACATGGTGAATAAGAAAATGTGTGAAAGCACTTTTTTGTTTGCTGAATAATTACGCCATGTCAGTTTCAACGTTAGCCGATGTCCCATACGAGATGGGTTTCTGAATGCCGGCCAGCTAAGCTCTTCTAGTGGATTCACACCCACGTACCCAGCGAAAGAGCTAGTGAAACGTTGAGCTTTGACATAATGTTTTCCATCCATTTTTACTAACCGTGCAGAGGTTTTTCTCAATCATTGTTACTGTGCAGCTAGCGACAGCAGTGCACTTTGCTGTGTTAAATAGCATTGATTTGGGGTAGAGGTACCGAATCACTGGTCGCTAGCTATTTCGGTCTCCACTGATCTGTCGACTTAGGCCGATGACATAACGATGTTTTGGCTCCATCGAAAGTGGGAAAACGATAATATGCGAATCGGGCGGCGATTTAATGCTAGTTACGCCAGGGAAAGTAACCCCGTTTGACTTAGACCTGGTGTATTGGTATTTTTTCCATCCGTAGAGAGATATGTTACTTTTGCGGTCAGTTTTTGCGTATGAATGGGAGCCATGTTTGGCTTGCAGCTCAGTCGCCCGCGTAGTGAATTTAAGCAGTAAAACTAATTCACATCTAAAACGTAGTACGGCGCTTAATCTCTTAACTATATAGGTAACCAGGCACCAATTCCGTAAAAAACACTATATCCTGGTAAAGTTTATTATTCACTATTACCTATTTGAGGAAAATGTTTTCTGAGTACTAGCATTACTTAAATGATATTTAAAAATCTGTTTCTTCTTCTTAGAAACATTTTGGAGTGTTACAAGACTTTGAAACTAGATTAGTTGCATATAACATCTTAACTTACACCTGAGCTGAATACATTTATCGTAATACTGCGATATAAATGTCTGAATAAATTTCTTTTCAAAATTGACTTATGGCAGAACCTGTTTTCATAAATATATTATGTACACTTTAATGGAAATGTGTCCCGTTTTTGTTGTACAAGTGTTAAATATGTGTCTCCTGTAGAGTTTTTGGAATTTGTGCTTCCATAAGGATCCTTGTGGCGTCATCTGTCAGTGTTCCCACTGCAGTACTCTAGGAATCTATACTGCATTTTCATACCTGATTCATACAAGTTATTCAAGGATTATAACGCAGCAAGTATTTATTGAAGATGTATAAAACATAGAGTATCTAATGTATATGTTAGGTATATATATATATGAAGATATATTTGGTGTGGTCTCATTATTGGACCAGGCCCTTTGAATGTTCCTTAAGAGTAACAGCTTGATAATGGCTTTCGTAGTCCCTTAATGTGATTTTGATAGCAGCCATCTTCCAGTAATAAAGCACGCCGACTGAATTGGAGCCAGCCGTGCTGTTGTCTCTAAGCCCTCGTTGTTACTCCTGCAGCAGATTGAGCCTGGACGCGAGGGTCTTGGATGGGATGGATGGCAAAGGCCGCTCGCTGCCTTTGATGGCTGAGCCGCCGAATCCGGTCAGTATGAAGCAGGCACCGGAGACGCTGGGCGGCCGCAAAGGCCGCGCGGACATGAACGGTGACCCTGCGCTGCTGATGGACCAGGCGGCTGCTCAGCTCGCCGTCACCCTACAGGACGGCGTCCTCCAGAACATGTCTGGGCACAGTCACACGCACGAGCGGCTGAAGGATTTGACCTCGCGCGTTCTCAATGGCAAGCAGGAAAAGCTGACCAAGTTGTGTGCCGCCGAGCCCACCATCCTGAAAGTGGTGGAGGCCCCACCGCAGCACCCCAGTCCCCAGGGCAAAGGGGCCTCGGACATCCAGATCCACATCACCAAGATGGTGGCCAAGAGCGAGCCGCTCTTCGTGTCCTGTTTTGGCGAAGACGGCGATCCACCCGCCCAAGCCGCACCCCCCAATGGGGTTCCATCCCTCCCCACCAAAGGGAAGCCAGGAAAGAGGAGAAAAGGAAAGAAGGTTCTGGTTCCTAGAGCTAACCCTCAGTTAGCTTCTCCCATGGTTCCTTTGGAGACACCGAAGGAAGTGGAGGCTAAGGATGGTACTGAAATGGCAAATGATTCAATGAGCGGAACACCAGGCAAGGTAGGTCCACCTTCCTCTGATTTAATTGAAGATAATCCTGTCACCTTGTCATTGTTTCCTCTGAGGTGCTGCTTTTTCTGGTATGTTTTTGAGGGGGCAATAATGTATTTTTTAAAGAGAACCATATTTGATAACACTGTTTACTACTGTTTCTGGAAACCTCAGCAGCTCTAGTTTGGGATAGGAGCCCTTCAACTGGGTTTTCTGTACTCTGAGTAAGCTAGACGTTTTGTGACACATTAGCATTACACTGTTCTCGGTTGAAGTAGGCTAATTTTATTGCCTTTTTATTCAAAGTGCTTTATCATAATGCAATTTATGGCTTTGAATTTCCTGGTAAGCTGTTTTACAGAAGCTTGTCTATCTTCACAATCATTGCAGTTCATGTTTTTCTCAGTGTCATTCAAATGAATTGTTTTGTAAATTTTTCTATAGACTGTATGGGAATGTGTGTGTTTGGTTGGGTAATCTTGCTGTAAGTGGGGGGGGGGGGGGGGATAACATTTATAAATATATTGTGAATGTGTTTGGTCTGTTACTATATTTTGAGGTTGTGGTTGGTTCAAACTGTAGATAAGGTGTTTGAATCTGCAATCAATCCTGCTGTTTAACATTCATGCAATGCAAAACAGTGGCTCTGCAACATTAAGCCCTACCTGTCGCGTCTAACAGGTATGTGAGCGGCGGGAGGTGCATTTCTTTGTGGGAGATGTGGTGTGGACAAAGGTATCTGGATACCCGTGGTGGCCCTGCATGGTGACCACAGACCCGGTACTCAACCACCATGTTAAGCAGAAGGGTATGTCTCACTACAGGTGTAACTTCAGATAGCATGCGGCCTGACTTCTATGTTAAGCTGCCTTTTTCATACTGGCTCCTTTATACGTTTGAAGTGTGTGGTCTGTGTAGATACCCTTGGCATGTGTAAACGTGGCTCACGCTGCCCTTTTCCCTATATACAGCGACTAACAGCCGCAGAGGTCTGCTCTACCACGTGCAGTACTTTGGCGACACGCCAGAGCGGGGCTATATCTTCGAGAGGAGCATGGTGACGTTTGGAGGCAAAGAGCAGTACCAGGAGCTGTGCCACAGCAGGACCAAGCAGTCGGCTACCCGGGTCAACCCTAAAAAGGTGCCTGTTTTTAACAGCACACCCAGATTCTCCCCCTGAATGTCGTGTTGGTGTTTAATGCCACGCTTTACATGTACACACGTTCGTGAGTCTGCTGTGTGACTGACGTGCGACGCTCTCTGTCAGACACACCACTCCGTGCCCCTGAAGCTGAGGGCCCAGTGGAGTATGGGAGTCTCACAGGCCACAGAGGCCATTGGCATGGCACTAGAGGAACGTATAGCCAGCTTCACCTTTACCTACACTGGTGGGCAACCACAGCTTAACCCCCATGTACTAAGAGACCTGCCCGCCACCCCCTGCAACGCCGCTCCGGCAAGGCAGCGACAGCAGGCTGTATCTGCCCCCCATGCGCCCAGCCAAGGAAAACGGCGTGCCCAGGTAGGTGTTAGCTGCCCTCCCTACCACGATTCCTCCCTCAGTCTTTGTCACGAATATAGTTATTTAAAGCATAAGCCTACTTGGGAAGGTTTTCCTAGAGTGTACTTTTCCAGGGAGAAATCATAGGGATTTCACGATCATCCACATGATCAACACCTTCTACACATCAGTGTTAGTGAATCCCATCCCTGATTCTCCCGTCCAGTTCCCTCTAACTTTGCTGCCCGCTTTTTGCTTCCAGGTTTTGCCAGCATCTTCTGAAGGTTCCAAATTACTTGAACAAAAGCAGAGAAATGGGCCCAGGTTCCGGGAGAGTGGCAGACCTGTACAGAAGAGAGCCCAGCTGGCTGCTGTTCCTGCCGCTGAAGGCGGCCTGCCGCCTCCGACTGAGCTCCCAGCTTCACCAGGTAGGCCTGCATGGGCCAGTCTTCACTGCTACTGCACACTGGCTTGTCTTGTATAAACCCCACTGCTTTCTCCTCTGCTGTGGTAATGTCATATCCTGCTGGAGCTGCTTTTGCCCTCCTCCTCTGCTCTCCTCCCATCCTTTAGCTAAGAAAGATGGTCGCTCCAGGATCTGTCCCACTCCAGAGAAGAGGGGGACAAAGTCCCATTTGAAAGGTTAGCACAGCCCTCCTTACTAATGGTCACCTGTTATTAACATACCTGCAGGTTGACCAGCACTAATAGTGTAGCCAGTTTTTTTATTTTTAAGCTTTTTTTGATAATCCCTGTGACCCTGGATAAGTGGTTAGAAGATTAAAGTTCATCACTGTAACCTTCCTGGTTTATCGTGTCTGCTCAGCTCTTATTGAGTATTTTTGTTCTCCAATCCAAACTGCTGCCCCACACACTAACCTTCCCCACCATCCCCCAGGGACCAAGGGCTCTGCAGAAACGAAGAACCCCAGAAAGAGGACGCTGAGCCGGGCCGGGGAGAAGGCCGAGCAGCCCCGCAAACGGGCCAAGCTGGATGGCCGCGTGTGGAAACGGAAGGTAATCTGCGTATGAGCTGCGAGAAGGCAGCTTCCCTTCGCCTGGCTCCCAGCTCTCACGCTCAGCATGCTTCTCTGACAGGCCTTTACCTCTGTCTTTGTAGGGGGAACCCAGTCCCACAGTGAAGAAAAAGTTAGAAGTAAAGGCCACCAGTGTGAAGAAGAGGAGCCCGCGAGGCGCTGAGGCCGATATCTGTGGTACTGTCCTTCCTCTACATCTAAGAATAAAACATTGTAACATTCAGGTCATTATTCTTCCCAGGATGTAGTTTGTTCTTGGTTAATAATCTGCTGTGTCTGTTCTGTAGCTGTCGTTGTTGTTATATACAGTGTTACAGTACTGTACTGCTGCTCTCTGTCTGACCAGCAACCCAGGAAAAACCCAAGCCTGCAAAAAAACGTCGACGGCAGCTAAAGGCGCAGTCAGCTGCAACACCACCCAGGAAGAAGTGCCTTCAACATTCTCCTGAGCCAGAGGTGAGGAATCTTCTCCCTGGTGGTTCCGGCATCTCCACGGTGCTCCGCGTCGGCCTCATGTGGCGGCTCTTCCTCCGCAGGAGTCTTTGTGTGAGGAGCAGCCCGACTCCCCAGCTGCGAGCACCGACGACCTGCACGCTGCCAAAAGAGGGGAGCGAAATGCCAAGAAGGAGTATGTCTGCCAGGTGAGCCAGCGACTGCTCTCTGTGTCTTTGCGACTTACACACACCTGTGTGAATCTCTCAGCCAGCTAATCATCTTGATACTTCTTGTGTAACTTGTATGTAGTAAATGAGGCATTCTGTACACACAGGTACGAACGACATGCATATTTCTCCCTTTTTTCAATTGTATACGTGTTTAATTAGGGGTGTAACGGTGCACAAAATTCACGGTTCGGTACAAACCTCAGTTCTGGGCTCATGGTTCGGTGCATTTTCGGCACACCTGGGTTCTCGCACCCGGATTTCTCTTTGGAGGGAGCGGATTCAGTTATGGAATTTTCTATAAAGAGCATTTAGAAAGCAACCAGGAATTCATGCAATTTGTATTGCTATGTTTTAATGACCGTTTGCAGACAACTGTACAGAAAATTTCTTATGAATCAGAACAGGAATGTTTTGTGATGTTACAGTTGGTTATATGTTTCCTTTGAATCTGTAGAGCTTTATGTAGTGAAAACTTTCATGACATTTCTGGTTGGAATTTTCTTTATTTTAAAGCTAAAGGAATAATGTTTATACAAAATGTATTGCTGTCTTTAAAATATTGTTTTTATTACAGCTAGAGGTTTGCTTACTGTAACGCTGGGCAATATAAACAACACACACGCTTATCACAAAATTGAAACAATACGAAAACGTGAAATTTCAATAACGGAACATAGGCTGATGTATGCCGTCAAGCAATCACACGGTATTTTGTACGAACACGCAACCTGTCCCTAAGTAACGAACAGCCGAGTTGATGGCATGAGTGGTGCACACTACCGACGACAGGGTTGGTGATGTACACAAGTCATGGGAGAGGGTCGAGCTCCTCAGTGGAAATGGTGAAGAAGCTGACAGCTCAGCAGCCTTAATATTTTTTTCAAAAAAGATATTGTGGATGAATAAGGTGACTGGACATTGGTGGTGTTGCAGTACTTATTGTGGTTTGAAGTCCAACATGCAACACACTGATGCTATGTACTGAAAACTGTCAGCTGCAACTGGAAATACTGCAAACTCATTTCACTACTTTAAGCATTGGGATCCAGTAGAACATGCAGAATTCAAACACTTGGTCTGAAACACCAGCAATGTTATACCCCCCCCCTGGAATGAGCGGTGAGGCAGAGGAAAAAGACAAGCAATAGTCTGTACTGATGTGTTTTCTATGCCCTACAACAAAAGTTTTTATTTTTTATGAGTTATTTATTAAAGTTAGATTTAGTTTTGCAATCTATTCAATTTGTGGTCTTTATAGAGGAATCCCAAGGGAATTTTAAGCAAAAATGAAGCCTTGAAATAACTATCAATATCAACTGATATGAAAAAAATTTATTTTTAAGAATTGCCTTCTTGCCCATCCCTGCTGTAATCTGGTTAAGGCTAATGAGTCTGTTTCTTTCAATTACATATTATATTTAATAATGGAGTAGAAAGTAGAAAATCTTGAGTATTTTGCTGAATTTCAATAATGAGCAGATGAGAATAATTTGTACTCGGCAAATTATTATTATTTTAATTGTGTGTGTGTGTGTGTGTGTGTGTGTGTGTGTATATATATATATATGTGTGTATATATGTGTGTGTAAGTTATATGAGCAGGCTTGAGAAAAGAAGTGTGTCTGCACAGGTCTGCGAGGGGGTTGGTGAGGAGCTGCTTCTGTGTGAAGGCCAGTGCTGTGGAGCTTTCCACTCGCGTTGTCTGGATGCCCCCTCGCGGCCCCAGGCCAAAGTTCTCTGTCAGACATGCCGCTCAGGTGGGTGCACCGCGTGTGTGTGTGTGTGTGTGTGTGCGCGTGCGTGTCTGTGCGTCTGTGTGTGTGACGCTGCTTCTCTCCTCCCCCAGGCATCCAGCAGTGCTTCTCCTGTAAGGGTACTGACGGCAGCATCCAGCGCTGCGTGGTACAGCAGTGCGGCCGCTTCTACCACGAGGCCTGCGCCCGCCTGAACGCCCTCTCCGTCTTTAAGAACAAGGGCTTCCGCTGTCCCCTGCACGTCTGTCTCAGCTGCCACTTCAACAGCCGCTCCAAGGCCACCAAAGGTCAGGCCTATAACATGTACCAGCCTCTCCGGTCCTTCTCGCTCGACCGCGATCAAGCTCCGCAAAGCCGCTGGCAGGCTGTGGGCACTGACTGGCTGGCATGGCGCTGTGCCCCCTAGGTAAGATGCTGCGCTGTGTGCGATGTCCGGTCGCCTACCACGCCGGGGACCTCTGCATGGCCGCAGGCAGTCGAGTGTTGTCTGCCAACGCCATAATCTGCACGAATCACTTCAGCGCTAAGAAGGGCTACAGCCACCACTCTCACGTCAACGTCAGCTGGTGCTTCATCTGCTCTAAAGGTCAGGGCGCCGCTCGGTGGACAAACCGGGTACGACGTTTGGCCCTCTGTCTTTGTGCTCCAATGAATTTTGTCATACAGAAGTGGGCTATTTATTTTGCGATGATACGTCATGGGGGGGCGGCTGTACTTGCAACATTCTCCAATGAGAAACTGGTGTTTGTGAAATATACGAGGCATTGAAAATTTTGCAATGTGCCTCTTCAAGGTCATTTTGTTAAATTCTTTACGTTTCCTGACTATCACGGAATGTTTATTGTACCTGAACTATAAAGAAGCAGTGGATTTTTCCTTCTGAAAGCCCATACTCCTGATTTTGTGAAGCACTATTGTTCATTGTGTATATCTGCTAGTGTGTATTTCACTGTTTCTTCTGAGTAACTGAATTGTGCTGCTGGGCCCTGACCAGGAATGTTGGCTGACCCGGCTTGTGTTCCTGTGACCTGTAGGGGGCAGTCTGCTGTGCTGTGAATCGTGCCCTGCGGCCTTCCACGCAGATTGCCTCAATATTTCTATGCCCGATGGCACTTGGTACTGTAATGACTGTAGGGCTGGCAAGAAGCCCAGATACAAAGACATCATCTGGGTCAAGCTGGGAAACTACAGGTGAGGCACACAGGAGCGAGTTCTGTATGCAGCCATGGTGAAAATGTAGTCTGGTGGTTGCGATTTCAATAATTTTACTGATCACCTGTAGAGCCTCCCATGGTTGTTAAGCAAAGTTCAAAATGAAGTTGACTGGAATTTGTGATTCATTTCCTCAGCTGGCAGTGGCAAATTTATGTAGATGGTGAGAGATGGAAAATTTTAGGCCGCTGTACCATAACCTTTGTTTTACTTCCATTCTTAAAGAGACATTGGATCACTTAAGGAATAAGTCTGTGTGTTGGATGACAGCTTCTTATAGTTTTACGAAATTTAAAAATCCATTTTTATTTGACGCTTTGAATAACTAGTGCTGGTGGTTTATCATGGAGCCGTGAACACAGATATGCTTCGTAGGTGGTGGCCTGCGGAAATCCGTCACCCCCGCAGTGTTCCTACCAACATCCAGAAGCTGCGGCACGAGATCGGCGAGTTCCCCGTCTTCTTCTTCGGCTCTAAGGATTACTTCTGGACCCACCAGGCTCGGGTGTTTCCTTATATGGAGGGCGATCGTGGAAGCAAGTACCAGGGGAATGGCATCGGCAAGGTCTTTAAGAACGGTGCGTTTAGCTCTCTGTCAGCATGTGTGTTCATGTGGGACATGTGGCCGTGCCGTGATGAGCTCTGTCCTTCCGTCCCAGCCCTGATGGACGCCGAGGCACGCTTTGTCGAGATCAAGAGGGAACGGGAGGCCAAGGAGGCACAGGAAAATGACAAAAAGCCCCCACCCTACAAGTACATCAAGGTGTGTGCTCTTTGGCCGGGTCAGTGACGTGGCACAGGGGTCTGCGGGTCCTTTAGGGCAGTTTCCCAGTCTGCTCTTCAGGGTCCCCCAAGACGGTTCGTGTTTTTGCTCAAAAATGTGGAGCTTCTGGCGGGGATTTGGGAGGAACCCCAGGACCGGGTCGGGAAACTGGTTTAGGAGAATACTGCCTTACTTATGCAGTGTGGTGAAAAGGAAGGAAGTAAAAATGCCAGTTGAGTGTAAGGAAGATGGTGGAAATGGACATTGGACAGGGTGGGATTTTGGGTCACTTGATACAGGTGAGAAATTATTCTGTGGAGGGTTGGAGCCCAAGTTAATAAAGCTGGACATCCTAAGCCCAGACAGCCTGAGGTCCGTGGTCCAGGTTGAGCTGCTTGCAGAGATCGGGATTCAAGTTTGCAATGCGGACTCGACTTGCGACTCGTTTTTTTGACTCCGACTTGACTCTGACTCATTGATAGCAACCCGTGAACAATGAGTCTCAAGGCTCTAACATTTCTACACATGCCAAGCTCCGCAAACCATAAGGGCGTTAAACACTTCAGTGTGCCGTTACTCTGAAAATGTATATAAGCGTTACGTGAGACGTGCAGTTTTTGAACTGTTCAAGTGGGGATTCCCATTTAGTCACATCAATTACTAATAGAATGCACCAAACAGGTGGTTACATTTTCACGATGGAGACTTCAGACTTGACTCTGACTCTAATTTTGTGACTAATGAACATCTCTGGCTGCTCTTTAGTATCCAAAAGAGGCTGTTGAAGGTTTCTTCCTCTGATGCAATGATTCCTCTGACACAGGTGAACAAACCCTGCGGCAGGGTACAGATCTACACGGCAGACGTCTCGGAGATCCCGAAGTGCAACTGCAAGCCCAGCGACGAGAAGCCGTGCGGCTTTGAGTCGGAGTGTCTGAACCGCATGCTGCTGTATGAGTGCCACCCACAGGTATGCCCAGCTGGTGCCCGCTGCCACAACCAGGCCTTCACCAAGCGCCAGTACCCTGACACCAAAGTCATCAAGACGGCTGGCAAGGGCTGGGGTCTGTTGGCCCTCAGGGACATCAAGAAGGTACGAGTCCGATGCTTCTTCCACTCTACAGGACCTACCAAAATATCATGTTTCGGTTTTCAATCCACTCTTTGGGGGACAGTTTTTGAGTGTTAGTCTCTGTGTTAGGGTGGCAACACTGATGTCATCTTTCTACAGGGAGAATTTGTTAATGAGTACGTAGGCGAGCTCATTGATGAAGAGGAGTGCCGAGCTAGGATCCGATACGCCCAGGAAAATGACATCACCCACTTCTACATGCTGACCATAGATAAGGTAGGTGTCAGTGCCCTGTTGATATTCAAGCAAACGTGCAAAATACAGAGAGCATGTTATGCCTAATTATGCCACGCTGGGGGCTTTCACCATCGCTGCTACCTGTATGACGGGTGTTTGGCGTATCTGACCTATGAGCTCAAACATAAGGCAGCCGCTTCTATTTCCGCTCTCAGGACCGTATCATTGACGCTGGGCCCAAAGGGAACTACTCGCGCTTTATGAATCACAGCTGCCAGCCCAACTGTGAAACACAGAAGTGGACAGTCAATGGAGATACACGAGTAGGCCTGTTCGCTATCTGTGACATCCCTGCAGGTGAGAGCCCCTCATGGTCAGGAGGTCTTATTACAAGACATTATTTCTTTGGTATATTCAATAAAAGATTACATACAATTATGTATGTACAATATGTATTACATACTTTTACCATTAAAAACTAATTATTTTCTTGTTGTATCAGGCAATCGATTCCCTTTGTTGACTAGTTGAACAGAGATGTTTTCTGAACTGCAGGCACTGAACTGACCTTTAACTACAACTTGGACTGTCTGGGCAATGAGAAGACGGTGTGTCGCTGTGGTGCCCCCAACTGCAGCGGTTTCCTAGGAGACAGGCCAAAGGTAGGAACCGTGTCTTAAGTTTTCCTGCATGGCATGCAGGTATCCTGGAGTTTAATGTTGACACTTTGTCCCTGTGGTGGGGATACCACCAAACCTGCGTCTTCCTTCCACGTCCAATGAGTACAACTTTGTCCCCTAGTGTCACTGGTGCTCCTTTCTGAAGATTTTAGAAACAATTTAGGTCCACCACTTAAATCAACATGTAGTGCAACAACATACATATTTTTTTTTCCATCTCAACTGTATTACTGATACTGAATTTACCAAAGGAACGATGTGATGTTTTATTTTAAAGGAAAAAGTCACAAAGTAGAGCTTAAGAGAAAAATGAAGTTAAATTGGACTTTTTAAAACATAAACACCAAATTTTTGTATACCTTTGTAAATTTTAAAAGGTAGGTGGGCATCCCCTATTGCGTCGGTGCATCTGTCCCTACATAGATTGTTTTTAGCTGCTGTTGTGTTTCATGAGGCATTTTCGCACCAAAACCTAGTTCCTGGTTCCAGGGCCTCTTTCCCACCGTACAAGAGGAGCTGCGACCTTTATGCTAAATGAGCATGGGAGATGAACAAAGGTCATAGGTCGAGCTTCACACGTAATCTCATAGGAAACTACACTGCCATCCCAAAACAATGGATGATGAACAATTCGTTCTGTTAGTTATTTGTTGCTTAGGGGATCAATCATGATCATAATGGCACTTTTATTTATAGCACCCCCGCGACGTTTATAATTCCTAATTAAATCTAGCCACCAGATTGATCTTATTAAAAAAAGATGCAACGTTATTCCACTGATAAGCGCTGGCGAGTTTCACTGCCAGCACCGGCGACATTAGAGATTATGTACATCGGTTAGCGATCAAGTTTTCAGATGGAAATTATGCACACAAAAAAGTATTCATTAATATAAACTGAGGCACAAAAATCCATCTGCTCAATTTTTTACTCCACTACGTCTCTTTGGTGCTTGTGGTCACCCAGTCTGTATGGTGGCACTATAAGCCCCACCCCAGTAGAATAAGCCCCACCCAGTCGCAGTCTCCAAAAAAGGTCGTGTGTGGAGCCCTGCAGTGTCATGCTACAGCTACCCAGCTGCATTAATAATACATTTATAGCACATTTACAGCATTAGCAGCATATACATTTCCATGTTGTGTCTGGGAGATTATCCCCGTTGCCTTGTGCATAGTGTCCCTTCATGGCTCCTCCTCCTCACAGAATTCCAATGGTCTGACCTCTGAGGTCAAAGGAAAGAAGCCCAAGAAAAAGGTGAAGAAGCGTCGGGCGCGTTCCGAGGGGAAGAAGCAGTCTGAGGATGAGTGTTTCCGCTGTGGCGATGGTGGCCAGCTGGTGCTGTGTGACAAAAAGAGCTGCACCAAGGCCTACCACCTGTCCTGCCTGGACCGCACAAAGCGACCCTTCGGTGAGCGTTCCTGCTCCGATGTAGCAGCTCTGAGTGAAGGGACCCATTTAAATATGTTGCTTGATTAGGGACGGGCTTTATGAGGCTGGTGTCTAAGTTCGAAACTTAGCGCTGTTGTCTGGCTCGGCAGGTCGGTGGGACTGTCCTTGGCATCACTGTGACGTCTGTGGGAAGAACTCTGAGGCCTTCTGCCAGCTATGCCCCAATTCCTTCTGCAAGGACCACCAGGAGGGGGCGCTACGCCTGTGGGCGCCTACAGGACAGTGGTGCTGCCAGGAGCACGACGAGCTGGAGCTGCGACCTGCGGCAGACAGCAGAGAGGCTGAGCCTCCTTTCGCAGATGGACACCGACTTCCTAAGAGCTCCCAGAAGGCTTAGGGGCAGACACAATCACACACAATGTAACCAGTAAGCAGCACTGCACAGCGAACTTCATCAGGGAAGCCCTGTTTCTTTGAGTTTCATTGAGCCGTCAGGACAGGTCCGTTTTTTTTATTTGATTTTTTATTTTTTCAAATTAACTTTTAAGTTTGCGTTTCATGCATCTGCACTGTTCGACACCTGTGGTAAGCACTAAATGTTTACTACACAATGTGGAACCAAGCTTGATTTACACAGCATTACAGTCAAACTTGAACATTTTTACTTTCTCTTAAACAGATTATTTGACATAGTACAGGTGTATAATAGACCAAAAGACCAAAATTATAATAAGACTGGAATATTGTAGTTACGTCTTGCCGGCAGTTAATTTGTTTTTAACACAGAAAGACACTATTAGTAGCTCTTAACAGTCTTTATGTAATAGAGATTTAGGTTGCATTTAATAGCCAAGTTTTTGTCTTGTTTGTAGCTCGTTTAAATTTTCGGGAATTGTGTAAATTCCAACGGTATGAATCTTGTTTCAAGAGACTTTGAAGAGAAGTGTTTGAATGCTTGTGACTGGGCTTACCTTGCATTGAAGTGTGAGACTGAAGTATGTCCTTTGTTCAAAAAAAACTTTACAGATTCCTAGTAAACACTGTCCAATGAAAACCAGCCTAATGTTAGTTTCTGCTTGAAAAGTGCACTGTACAGCAGGTACTTAACGCAAAGGTTCTGAGTAACTATACATATAGGCATATCTTTTAAGTTTAGTCATATGATGCTGAAATGTTTATTTTAATAAAAGTATAATTTGGAACATGCTAGTGAAATAGTTTGCTGATATTTCTTAGGGGGTGGTTTCCAGTTTGGTCAGGGTACCTTTATGGTCTGCAGCTGAAATGTGGGTAATCTGAGAGCATTCAGGGAGAATACATGAGCCCATAGATAAGAGCACTGCTAAGGCCTTAGCCAACAGGTATATCTGGGAAAACTTGTGTAGAAGATTCCAAGTTGATCACAGAAAGTAGACAGTGGCACAATGAAAAGTGAACCATGTCTGAATTTGGATATGGATCTAAATTTAAGACAACTGATGAATTTTTGCTACACAATTGTTGCATTGAAAGAGTATGTGATTGCTTTTAAAATACCTGACTGCAAAATAGTAACCTTAAATTATTGCAGAAAACAGATCTTAGCTGCTCCAAGTCCCTGTTCAGTCCTGCTTAAACACCACTTAGGAAAGACGGAAACGATGAAATTGGATACAGTCTGAGGATAGGTGACAAATTATGAATCTGTGTTTATTTTGGTTTATGCTTTGGGAAACTAAGTGGTGTCAAACCGAATTGTATAAAATTTCAAATTGCTTGAAGTATTGGCACAGAAATAGAAGACTGATCTGCCATCTTTGAAAGGCTTCTGTAAAGTACGTGTCACATTTCATTCTCTGAAACCAGAATTCTACCTATTCAGAAATAGTATGGAATAGTAACATTGATGAGTCCAGCCAGGGGCACTGACCAAGCTGACACTCAGTACTGTAGCTTTGGGTTTCCATGATATGCATAAGCTCAAGTGTTTAAAAAGAACTGGTATTTTTAAAAAAGAAAATGCATACATTGTTATAATATGAAACGTACTGGAAATGACTCCCAGTCTGTGTCATGAAACGTAACAGCAGTGCAAAATCATTGAGTGAGACTTTGTTGCACTGTGGAAGGAAACTATCATGCCGTTCAGATTAGCTGGACACACTCACATTTCCCTGTGTGTAATTGTGTCTAATGGACTAGAATTTATGTCCTGGAATTCACTGTGGCCCTATACTGTATAAGCAGTCATGGTGTGGGCAGTGGTACCTTAACGGTTAGGGAAGCACACTCGTAATTGAAAGATTGCAGGTTTGAATCCCCGACCAGCAAGGCACCACTGAGGTACCCTGAGCAAGGTACCGTCCCCAAGCACTGCTCCCCGGGCGCTGAATTGGCTGCCCCCTGTTATGTTATGGTGTGACATATGGGTTAAATGCAGAGGACACATTTTGTTGTTGTACACTGTGTGCTGTGGTGTGTCAACAATGACCACTGATCACCAAATTCTAAAATGGGGATCATAAAATTCAAAGATCTGCAGCCAAATATTTTTACACAGAGGAACCCGCAACAATGACGATGTTTGATATTCTGATATTTGGGGAAAAAAAAGTAGGTTTGCATTATGTCGTCAAAGCAGGCCATAGTAGGACTTTACTGGAATGAAAAGTGTCTGCAATCTGTGGATCAGAAGTCGGACATTCATTTAGTAGATGCCTAAGCAAAGAGAAATGAAATGCATGTTTATATTCTGCACTGATGTACTGAACTATTTTTTTTCTCTAACTTTGCTCATTTTTTGTCATGACTTTGCTCAACTGGCCATAGTTTTTACTGGGGATGTTCAGTGGGAAAAAAAAAACGTGAGGGAAAGTATATCCACCATTAAGCTATTATTTATCCCTGTAGGCCATTGTATTCCTAAGAGGTGAGCATGATATTTCTTTAGTACTGTAGTGCTCCACCAAGTGGGAAAACTAAGAATAGCAGGGATTTTATTTCAATTTCAAATTTGTACTTGCATTATAAAACCACATTCTGGGCTGCACGTTTGACAGCCCAGCTGCGGGACGTCCGCGTGAATGAGGACTCTACATGGCGCAGGCGCATTTTGTCGATCGTAACGCGCTCACGAATGGCATAGCGTTTCCATGGAAACCACAAACAGCGGCGTAGCCAAGAGGGCCGAGTACCGAGCAGCACCGGACAGTACCGGGAACTACCGGACAGCATCGTGGCACTAGCTGATTACAGACGTCGAAAACTTTCATGCAGCAGTGGACGTAGCACGGTGAGTCTCAGCATTAGAAACACCATCAACCTGATGTGTAGTGACACGTTTTAAATGTAATTAAGCTTGCCAGATTCAAATGGGATTCAAATATTGAAAACAATTAAAACAAATCTTAAGTATATCTTTGTCATCTTTAGCCTCTTCAGTAAAACACCCTTCCACGCCGATTATTACGTCCAGTGTAGCCCTGCTGTAAACTGATGCTTCGCAGCTCCCGGACACATTCCGCTGCTGACCTGAGAGACACCGTCTCCCGCAGGATGGCGGAGATCCGTGTCGTCCCCCGTGGGAAAGTCTACCGGCAAATGTTTGACGCACAGGTTAACTTTACGTTTTTAACTGTTTTATAACGCAACCTATAGATACCACACATGTATCGAGCTGTTGGTGTAGATACAGGCCCGTGTCTTGCTTAAGGTTAAGCTGTCCATGGCTCTGCACGAGTCCCGGAGGAGACGCGCGGCTACCGCGGGGGTTCCGCTCCAGGACAGCGCCACTCCGCCGGGGCCGGGCTTCGGGACCCGCGCCGGCACCGAGCGCTCAGACGACGGCCGCAGCTGGTACGGGTCCGAACGGACAAGGCACTGTTATTAAAGAAGGAAGCCCGGAGATATGGCAGCATGCACTGTAACGAGCGTGTGTGTGCTCATGTTCAAAGGGATCGGGCGTGTGCCGCGTCCCGGTCGCTTAAAAACGCCACGGAAGAAGAAGAAACCCTGCCTGATGTTGTTGGTGAGGGCCTTTATGCATATTTATATACATATGCAATATAGTATTTACATAACGATACGTTAAATTGGTTAAATAACTGTAGTGTCGTGAATGAAAATAATAAAGATGACTTCAGGGGTGTAAACACGGTAACGTTCTTACAAAGCCAGTATAAATGTAGTATTTGCTGATTGTGTGTGACCCTCCTGCTCACCCAAGCCTTCCCACAGTGGCCGAAAAAGTGGGCTCTGATATCAATGAGCGTCTGCTGGAAAGGCGACTGAAGCGGCACACGCAGGCGATGGCTGAGCTGCAGAGGGACCTGGCCTCTGTCAGTGAGGTAAACGGGTTTGATGAACAGTCTTGCTGTTCAGATAGGAGGCTGACTTACAGTGCAGCTCTCGCACCCAAGATGGATGGAGCATGTTTATCTATAGCGCTGTACACTTTGAGGCAGGGAGTTAATCTGAGTCACAGTGTTGTGTTTATTGCAGGATTCCCCCACTTCCGGTCCTTCAGGGCCAGTCTGCAGCTCAGTTTGCAGATTTCCTTGCTCATCAGCCAGTTGTCAGGCTTAGTATGAGTTGCTGAGCAGGGAAATCTGTAAGCTGTGTTATAGACTGGCTCTCTGGGACTGGAATTAGGAACACTGATTTATTGACGCAATGAAATTCGACACAGCGTGGGTTTTTATCAAACTATAATGTCGATGAAAATGCAATTGGGAAATCTAAGATAGAAGACAGAACATTCTGGAGGAATTCCAACACTGACTTTAGAGCAAATGATAACGACGGTGATGGGTTTTGAAGTTAGAGTTAAGTGATCAGTGGTCATTGTTGACACACCACAGCACAACAACAAAATGTGTCATTTAACCCATTTGTGACATAGCAGGGGCCAGCTAATTCAGCACCCAGGGAGCAGTGCCTCAGTGGTGCCTTGTTGGTTGAGGTTTTCAAACGTCATCTTTCAATGAAAAGTGTGCTTTACTAATCATTAAGCCACAACTGCCCACAAACAATGGGCTTGTCGGGGATTTGAACCCGGGACCTCTCGCACCCAAAGCGAGAATCATACCCCTAGACCAACGAGCCGCACAAGTTACCCATCTTCTGTCCTCCAGAGTTATGAGACACCTCTCAGGGAGACAGGAGAGAACTTCCTAAGTAAAATGTCTGCATGTGATGAGACCATGGAGAACCTGATGCAGAAGATTGTCAATGCCGATGTCACCTATACCCTTCAGGTCAGCCATTTGTCTGCTGTCCGAAAACAGTACTGACCTATCAGAGGAGAGGTGCTCACTGTAGCATTATTCATACCCTCTCTTTCCCTGATAGGATCTGCACCAGCTTTGGGACACTATTGCTGAGAAGGCAGAGGACCAGAAGAAGTGGATCATGGAGCTGGACACGGTTCTGGGGCAGTACGAGTCTGATAGGACCACGAAGGTGGGGGGGGGGAGGGGCTCTGGAGCTGCCTGAGAACCTGTCAGTGTACCTCCTGCTCTGAATGATCTTTGTATGCCTATATGACCAAGATTACAGCAGTACTGAAGAAATATTCGGCACTTCTAGAGGACGTCAGTTACATGATGCCCCCTGACATCCACCGACTGATCGACGGAGAAGCCATGGTAAGAATGTCACTAAGGTGCTGAGAAGTTTAGGAAGATCTCGCCTGAGAGGTTTGTGCCCGCAGATGATGAATCAGGCGATACTGGCCAATCGGCGGGCTGTGGCCAGACTTGTCCTTCAAGCGACGGAAAAGCACCTGCAGAAGGGGCTCCTTCTCAGGCTGCACTGGGAGGACAAGGTGCAGGACTGGACCAGACTGAAGGTGCAGGCCTCAGTGGACAGATTCAGGTGACCCATCGGGTGTCCATTTGGGGCTCCTCCCCACACCCTCCCAGTATGTTAACGGTCAGCTGAGCTGCTCCACGCCGTTCTATCCCTTCTGTTTTATTAGAGAGTTCATGAGCGACCCACTCATTCAGGAGCCTCGGGGAGTGCAGGGCACCCTGGAGAGCATGCGTGCGAAGCAGGAACACCTCAGCCAGAAGCTCCAGACAGAGCTGCAGGGGATCAGGTGAGGGAGCACGGCTGCGCGCGGGCGGGGGGGGGGGGGGGTTACGGCTCTGCCTGTCTGCGTCTGTGTCTCACGAAGGCCAGCAGGGTGATCACCACTCGTTACCCCTAAAGACCGCTCTACACAAATATGGCTGTCTGTGCCCTGACCTCTAGGTTCGCCCTCACCTATATTTGTGTGTTTCAGAGGAAAGCAGGATGAGAGATGTGAAGACCAAAGAATTCCTCTGTAACCCGGCCTGCTCCATTATGGCTCGATTTTTGGTCAATAATTGAGACCACAGTTATTTAACACGATCACTCACAGACTTTGCAAATATGCATTCATTGAACTTTCTAAAAGGCTTGTCTTCTTATCAGTGGATTTCCTTGAACTCTCAATATAATTCGATTGAGAAATTAACAAAATGCAGCTGGAAAGAGGTGCACTGGATTTATTACACAAGGCAAACGGGAGCATCACTGCGAAATGAAATGCGACATAATAATCGTTTTATCGCTGTTTTGTTTTGATAATCTTTGGAAGCCAAAATCATAATTGAAATTAAAATTAGATGAATTGCCTGACCCTATCTGTACTTGTGCTTGTGCAAATGGAAAATATCATTATCACTATCAGATAGAACTCTTTACTAGAAATCAGTCATTTTTAATCTGGTGGAAATGTCGGCATTATAAACTAGTTTTCACTTTTAAAGTTATTGTTATAAATATTGTGTCTTCATCATACTGACAGAGAATTGGGTGGATTAAGGGAAGTGGTGTTTTGGCCAGTCATAAATCACGCACTGTCCTTAGTTAATCTGTGGGTTTCTCTGCAGTTCCTTGGTCCCCCCCAGGTGCTCGAAGGAGCTGGTGAGTGAGTGGCACTCCTCACTGTCTGCACTCCATGAACAGATTGGTGAGTACAACTACTGATTGGGGGGGGTCTGGGATTGGAGTTCTTGTTTCAGGAGGTGCCGATGAAATCATGATCAGACGCCTGATCAAGACCACGAGATCGGTATAATCCAGCTAGATTGGAAAAAGTGAAGTAATTTTTAAACTGAATACCATCAATTCTTATGCTGCTTATTGCTGTTTCAGATTCCCTGCATATTGACTCGGTGGAGAAAATTCGTTTATATTACGAGAGCACTTGGCAGGACTGCTTAGCGCAAATTCAGATATTCGAGGTATCGTGCCCTATTCAAGTCGTGACATTAATTTTGCATTTTTGTCAGTAGTATTGAAGAGAGTACGGGGTGATATTCAGTGAAGTGGTTCCGTTTTTGCTCGCACAGGAAGGAGTTCGTGAATATGGACTTTCAGCCGTCCAAGTTAATGCCATTGTCAAGAATGAACTCCTGCCTCAGATGGGTCAGAGCCAAAGCCGGTCCGAGGACCAGATGCAGGCTCTGCATGTAAGACTTCTAGATTTCTAATATTTTCTAAAAAGTCTTCAGTTTAAATAAATGCAGTCTGGTTTCCTGATAATTTAACATTCATTTCATGATTATCAGTATGTTAATGGTAAATAAATTTATTTTTTCAAATGAGAGCATTGAGCTCCTCATATCTGCACAGGCTGACTTTCGTATATCATATTTATACCTTCATTTTGATTTGCTCAGGCCAATGAGCACTGAGCTGTACGGGTCCAAGTGTAATTCATTCTGCAATTTGCACCTTTGCTATTTTGCCCAGTTACCATTTCACACTATCTCCACCAATCCTGTACACAGACTTGGTGTCATACGTGTATGTGTACTCCTGTATCTATCCATGTCCTTGTTTATGCTTATACAGTAAGCTGTACTGCTGGCTGAAGTGCTGCTACAGTGACATTTTGCTGCTCTCTGCACTGACAAACACTCTGGTTGTTTTGCTGCTCTCTGCAGTGAAAAACACTCTGGTTGTTTTGCTGCTCTCTGCAGTGACAAACACTCTGGTTGTTTTGATGCTGCTCCACAGGCAGCGTTCGAGTGTCTGGCCAGGAGAGCTGCCGCAGTGAGCCAGTCGCTCTTCAGGTTCATGAGAGGAGCCGCAGAGCTGTGGGAGGTGCACACTGCTCGGCTGCAGAGGGCAGACCGGCAGCTGAAGGTCCAACTGGAGGAGGTGCGTCAGGCCCACCAGCGTGAGAACCAGGTGAGGAGGCTGTTTAGCCACGTCCACCAGTGTGAGAACTGGTCAAGCCTCGAGTCTAGCCATGCCCGCCACCATCAGGACCTGGCAATCTAGGTCAGTGTTTCTCAAACTGCTGATCCGGGCCCTGCAGACAGCCCACGTTTTTGCTCTGGGAGGTGGGAGGGAGCAAGAATGTGGACCGTCTGGGGGGGTCTCCGAGGAGAGTTTCAGCGCCAATCTGGGGATTCAGCTACGCCGTGTCGCGTTCTAAGCAGTAGATATATACCCTCACTTTGTAACCTTAGTTCTTTAGATGTTAGTTTTTCTGTGATCATTTCTGTGCGCTCAAAGCGTTTGGCGAGAACCTTTTTTGGAAGTGTGTTTGCCGTTGTTGGAGAATCTATCATCAGTGAAGGACGGGACTTTTTCTACTGCACCCAGAAAATAGAGGCCCACCTGGACATGATGACGGACAAGCTTCGACAGGAGAGCTCAGAAGAGGCTCTCAAGGTCGCACTGGGCAAGGTCATGCTTTTCCTGGAGGACATTAAGAATGGGTATCCCAGATGAATTATTCTATGATTGTTGTTCCACTTGTGAAAACACCATCGTAGAAGAACGTAGATTGCCTACAGCAGTATGCTCTTTAGGTATAGCAGCTTACATTCTGCTGAAGTGGATGCTGTTGAATGCCACCCAGCCCTGATCCTGGAAGAGATGCACTGCTACAGCTCCGTGGTCAGCATGTTCTTCAGCGTCGACGAGACCTTCCACATGGTACAGCCCCCCTTCCACATGGTACTGCCCCCCTTCCACATGGTACTGCCCCCCTTCCACATGGTATTGCCCCCCTTCGCACTGCTCCTCCTCTGCGCAACACCTCAGATAAACTAATGCAAAGCTGAGGCAGTGAGTCACACGTCATCAGTGAATCTGTTGCTCTACAAACAGTCAGACTCTCTCCTTTAGGACTCTGAAGATCTGCGTCGTTATTTTCCCTCAGTCAGACTTGGTGAGTGTGCATCTCTAAAGTGAGGTGGTGTCTTGCAAGATTTTTAGTCCTTCGCACATGCACGCATTTTCTGCGCCACGCTAAACGTTTGCTGCATTTTTTGTAGATGCAAGCGGTCAGATGGGAAGCCGCAGACCTACTGATCAGAGCAGGACTCTGGCTACTGAATACCCACAGTCGCCTGCAGACATGCTCTTCATAGAGGTGTGTCTATTGCGGACAATACGTGTGTTTACCACGAAGTATAAACTCTGTACATACATCCAAATCTTTCACTTTGATTTAGGATGGCACGGATTCTGAACAGGGGTCCAGCGCCCCTCTGACGCGAGTCTTCACAACTTCCAGAGGCAACACGTATCATGCGAGTTCCAGGACGTTTCAGTGGGAGGAGAAGGGCCCATCTCTGCCGGAGGTGGGGCTGCTGGTTTATCCCAGCAGCTTCTGGGAGCAGCTACAAGACGAGTAAGTGGGCTATTAATGCTAATGTATGTATAAACACACACACTCATACGCACAGGTATGTATAATATAAAATGTGCCCTGTGAGGGACCTGCCGTCCTATTCAGGAACTATCGTTTGCCATGTGTCCTGTGCTGCATGGGTCTGGCTACAGGCTCCTCAGATCCCTATCCTGGATAAGCGGGCAGATGTATGGATGGATGGATGATCTGCTCAGCTCAACCATATTGCACTCCCGTAGTAAACAGGACTCTGCTGAATATAGCTAATTGTTTGGAAAGCATTTAAAATGAATCGTTAATTTGATAGCATAATAAATTGATGTCTGTGATCGGTTCCTGTCTTGAATTGTAAGTGCAAAGTGCTGTTCAGCTGCTTGCCTGTTTGATGTTCGCTATGTTTCCTTTGTCCTGTAGTGTGCGTGTGGCATTCTTTAACCACCTAGAAGAGTGGTATCACACGGCCCTGACAAAGGCGACGGACGTCGTGGCGACAAAAAAGGAGGAGCTGCGGGCTGAGCTGGACCTTCGGCTGCGTCTCCACGAAACGCGGGTTCAGAGCGTGGAGAGGGACGTCCACGATGCCCGAGCCGGTCAGTCATCCCTCTCCAGCTCCAGTGCCCAGTGCTGCTGTCCTGTTAGTCACGGGCAGGCCAAGGTCATTAAGCTTCTCCTGCCATCTCCACCCAGAGGAGCTGGTGCTCCACCAAGAGCGAGTGGACCGACACTGCAAAGCGGTCTTACTGTCCCTCAGCCAGTCCAGGACTGACCTACAGGACCTGCTAACACAGCAACGGAAGCAGACTGAGGAATTCCTGACTCAGGTCTACAGCATGGAGGGCAAATTCAGCTTGGCCACCAGCTCCAATATGTGAGGCTGGTGGATGCTGGGACAGTGGCGGGTGGATGCTGGGCGAGGCGGGTGGATGCTGGGACAGAGGCGGGTGGATGCTGGGACAGTGGCGGGTGGATGCTGGGACAGTGGCGGGTGGATGCTGGGACAGAGGCGGGTGGATGCTGGGACAGTGGCGGGTGGATGCTGGGCGAGGCGGGTGGATGCTGGGACAGTGGCCACCTGCGTACGGCAGTCATTCAGCTTTCTGTCTTCGGTTCCCAGGCAGCCTCCGCCTCTCTGAATCACTGTCTCCCGTCTTCGTTACTGTAGTCTGCTGCAGCTGCGTAACTGCCTGCAGTCTCAGCTGGAGAAGCACACGTTACGCATCCAGACGGAACACAGACACTTCAGGGAGGAAATGGAGCGGAAAATGGCGACACTGAGGCAAACCAGTGCCCAGTTCATGAGATCATTCAGGTAGATGTCTTATCCCTCCTGCTTTGCGAAGATCAGCTTTATTTTATAAATATTTTTATTTTCAATAATTTCTGTTTTATTTATTCTTGTAAAGTTTTAAAATAAATGCACCATCCATGGTTGACGCAATTGCAGTTTCACTGTGCATAATGACAAAGCTTCTTGAATCTTGAATTATTTTGATTTGTTTGACTCAATACCAGTTATGGTTCTAGCAATTTTTTTTGTTTGTTTCTTCACTTAGCAAATGATATAGGACTGCCCAAAAGCTTAGTATACCTGCTTGAAAGATAATTATTTCTGCCTTAAACTGTACTGATTGGCTGTCCTTAGGACACTGGCACCCCATAATCTTGGTGTTAACTGCCTTCATTAGAACATCCTCAGTTTTGACTTTTAATATTAAAACTTAAACGCTGTCGTCTTTATTGGGATTTGTGAGAGTCTCTTCTTGCTTCTAGGTTGTTTTCAGAAGGTGGGAACTTCACCCCCAAAGAGATGGAGTTGTACCACAAGCAACTGGAGAAGCTGGCCACGCGTATCGACTCTACAGAAGAGGCCATCGCAGTCAACTCAGAAAAGAATGAGTCCCAGTGCCTGCAGCAGGTAAAGCATTTCCGTTTGCAGGTCCTTCTTTGTCAATCTCTGGATCTTCATTAATTTTTTTTCTTTTTCCTGTAAAGGCCAAAGATTCGACGAACAAATTTCAGGACAGGTTCCAGTTTCTAGCTGCGGATTTGAGGTTTTTGGAGAAGCTTCGCCGCGTTCCCACCTCCACGCAGGTCCAGATTGAGAGTGAGGTACGCCGACATCTCATTTCCACAGAGACGCCTAATCTCTTCGACACTATCAGGCTGATGTACAGCACTGTGCAGAAGTCAAAGTGTTTCAAAGCCATTTATCTGGGTGATGTGTGTATATTTGCTTAGAAAAACAAATTAAGAAATGTTAGCATTAGAATACATGCAAATTAACAGTAACACAATAAAAACTAACAAGAATTTCTTCTGTTCTCCAAAGAATTACTGATATATGGAGAGCTAAACACTTCGACATCATGTCATCTATACACCAATATGATCATTTACACATTTTCTGACTAGCCAAGACTAATGCACAGTACTGTACAAAATGATACACAATGTGAACTGAACTGTTAATTTGCCCTATTTGTACTTTGAGACTAATTCATTATTAATTAGTGTTAACATCTGCCTCCCTCCTCCTCATCTCGTCTTCGCTCCTCGTCCGCATTGCACGTTTCCTGTCCTCATTATATCCACCATTAGTGTTCATGGTGCCAAACCAACCAGAAAGGAATTGCTCTTCTTTGTGAAGCACATGGCCAGTAGAGCTGATTCTGATTGGTCCGTTCCACAGGTAGCACGGAGCGATATGCAGAAGAGACGGCTCTGCAGCATGCTGGTAGAGCTGGAAAGGATGATAGACGCACACACCAGACCTGGTGCAGCTGAAGCGGTAGTGTTTCTGCTGTAGCCATCACCGTGTTATGTGTTGATGGATAAGTGGATGTACATGCTGCATTCCGCCCCCTACAGGCAGTGACTGAACAGGACCTCATGTCTTACACATGGTCAGTCAACAAAGAGCTGAGTGACAGATTCCAATACCTGCGCTGTTCTCCAGTGAGGCTCTCTCATTCTTTCGAATATATTCTAGATTGTTTTCTTTGCTGGATGCTGCGTTTCGCCCGTTGCCGTAAGAGGACGACCCCAGTGTTAACGAGCTGACTGTTTATTGGTTACAGGAACCCGTCATGACCGACACGGCACCACTTTCCCCACACCAGAGGCCGTCCTCCACGAGCTTCAGCCCCTCTCCTGAAGGCCTCATCCAGCCTAGCCGTGTGGGCGTGGCTTCAGGCAAGGATGCGGCAGTGGGCGTGGTCCAGGAACTCCTACGGTAAGGGGGTGTGATATCCATCCGTCCATCCTTTCCTCTGTCCATCCTTTCATACATCCATCCTCGAGGGGTATACCCTGAACAGGATGCTTGCCCATTTCATGGCCATTATATATTATTTTGATCGGTGTTTCACAACCCGGTGCTCTGGGATCCCCAAACGCTCCTGGTATTTGCTCCCTCCCAGTTCCCTGCCAGACATTCCACATTTTTGCTTCCTCCCAGCTCCTGGTAGGGAGCAAAAATGTGAACTGTCTGGGGGTCCCCGAGAACCAGGTTGAGAGACACTGAGCTGGATAATACCAAGAATCACTTTTTGACCATCTCACAGGATGGCCAAGCTGAAAGACCGCCAAGAATCTCAGGCCAGCACCCCACAGAAAGGCTTCCACGTCCGCTCAGGTGGGGGACTCCCTCCATAATACAGAATACCACCCTACAATGAATGTCCCAGATATATTCTAGCTGCATTATTACTGACTGTCTCCCCCTAGTGGCAGTCAGTCAGCAGCAGTGTGCCTGGGGCAGTCTGCCCCCACTTGACACCACATGGAGGAAATCCCCCTCTAGACAAAGGTCAGAAGTCAACTCTCTGCTGGTGTCAGAAATGAGACTCTTTTGAGTCTTTGATTTCAGGCTTAGGCTCAAGTACTAAAGCTATCAGTTGACTTTCCCAACACCTTCACGAAATGGCCGTATCTGGAATGCCGGCTAGTGTCTAGAGAAGAATGGCTTCTGTCTTGCATTTCATGTTAATTTACTGATGTTATGGGGTGTGTAGAGTGAAGAGGTTCTCCAAACCCACACGCTTCGATAAGAGATTCCAGGTGTTCGGTTCCAAACCAGTGGAGCAGGGCGTGTAAGTTGAGTCACAAGTGACCTTTCGGTGCATTTAATCCTACACCGGCATTGTAGGTCACATGCTGTTTGGTTAAGACTAAACACAGGGTTGTTTCAGTGCTACTTTTAAAGGTCTGATCGTCAACATCCTGTGGAAGGCAAATGATCATCTGCTCCTGGTGGCAGAGGTAACACGTGATTCTTCTCCCTCACGGCCATAAATACATCATGCAGTAGCACGGCCGTGCTGCGTGAGGGCGTCGGAGTGCACTGAGGTCACGTTGGCTTTTCCGTGTTCTCCGAGCAGGAATTCTACAAGAAGGAGCATGGGCCTGTCTCGCGGCTGGAGAGGCTTCCGGAGACCTTTGAGCTGTGCGCCGAGCAGGTCAACTGCAAGCTGCTGCTCTACTGCAGCCAGGCAGAGAACCACCGCAGAAGCCATCTCCAAGGTCTGCCTGCTCTCGCCAAGCATCCAGCGAGAGACTCCATCACATTCATGACTGATTTTGGACGTTTTCTAGCCACTTAAACGACAAGGACCTGGGCACCTCTTTCACCTTACAGAGTTCTATATACAGCTGAGGGACTTTGAGGGGCATTTGGCCCAGGTGCTAGAGGCAGTGATGTCCCACCTGGGAAAATGGCACATAAAGGCACTGGACCAGGATACCACGCAGATCCGAGAGCACCTGAAGGCAGTCCTGCAAACCCACGAGGACCGGAAGGTACACAAGTCAGCTACCTCTACACCTTGCATGATTTTTGGGTGTCCTGAGATGTTCTGTAAGGTTTATGGAGTTGTCAGTGTATCACCAGTGTTGCCCTGTCTGTCTTGATGTCTTCATTGAGGTTGAGAACCCAGCTGGAACGTAAATGGGCTGACTGGCCCAAATTGTTCCAGCTTTGACATTTATTTTCTCCATTTTACTGATTTTAGTAGTTAAAGAACTTTGCAACTGACTAGATTAAAGGTCAAAAGCATGATTTGTATTTGGCACTAGCCAACATTTATGCCGTCATCTTCCTACAGACAGAGCACAACAGGCGCCTGTCCCCCCCGTTGAGTCACCCTGCCTTCCAGGAAGAGCTGGAGACCCTCCTACTGGCTGAGGAGGAACGCCAGAGGGAGGAGACCAGCGCCATCCAGAGCACGAAGCAAGAACTGCAGGTCAGGTTGACATCACTGTGTGACAGCAAAGCAGCTGCATTGATGTAGGAGTAGCTGTCGTTGGTCTGGACCAACAGTACTGAACTGATGGGTGCCACCGGCTGCCCCCTTCCCCTAGGCCTGTGTGACAAGACATGGGGATGAGTTTGTGGCAGCACTCGCCTCACTGACAGAGAAGCTGCTCCAGCAGGTGGACAGCCTCCTGACTGTGGACGAGCTTCAAGCTGAACGTATGTCACGTTATCCCTTTGGATTTTCATTGGTGAATTGAAACATGGGCATTTCTCATTGGCAGCCTCCTAGGAGCACACCAAGTGCAGCATTTGGGGTGATGCGGTACAGAATTTACATTGCTATGCTTACCATGACAGTGTGCTAGATTTTTTCTGTCAAAGCTAAGCTAAATCATTTTACAACAGACTTGAATAATTTTCCAGATACTCTGTCCCCACAAGAGCTGTTCTCTCTCTCTCTCTCTCTCTTTAGGTATGCAGCAGACCGCCACTACGATACTCCTTGCAAAGGTTTCTGGGGAAAGTATTCCGATGCAAAAAGCTTTCAGGTGAGTTGATGTGCCTTGCAGAATTTTGTTGAATATTGTAGAACTGCATTCATACACCACCAAAATACAGATGTAACATGAATTTAACATTAACTTAAAATATCAGTGTTCAGAGTAATACGGTGCACATTGTTGAATCAGCCCAAGTTCCGAGTGTCCTCAGCTGGCTTTAGTTCTTTCCACTAAATTCTAGCCTGTAAGACTTCCTGCTGTCACTTGAGTGCTGAGTGACGTTTCTCTGTGACAGAACCTGGCCAGGGCTTGGATATCTGCAGCCGGCTTCTGAAGCCCCTTTGGAACAAACGTGCAGAAGCGACAGCGCCAACACGGCTGCCAAAGCAAGACTGGCTCACCGAAAGACCGTGGAGGCCAGCGAGGCCGTCTACCAGGTATCGTCAAGCAAGCATCTGGAAGCCATTTGTACAGCCGTGCGTCCCGAGCTCGGGGGATAGCAGGGGCTCTTCCTGATGGGCCGTTTTGTCTGTGCCGTCACACAGCGTTTCGAGCAGCGATTCCAGGAGGAGCTGAGCTGGGCAAAGGAGGAGATGGAGGCACAGATGAGGCAGGCAGCTTGCTGGCAGGTTCAGTGGCGGGACTCCATCCGGGTCCTAAAGCATCTCCACCCCCGATAGCTAAAGGCAGACAGAGGCCGCCTGGCTGTCTCCGTAATGGCAGGGGTGGGTATGTTCCTTTACAGGCAAGTTTTAAAAATTGATGATGGAAATTGGTAGAGAAGTCCTCTACCAATATCCAAAAATGTTACAAGAAGAAACAAATGCAGTACTGCTACCTCTGGTGTATTTTGGGGATAGAAATATTAAACACATTGTCATAAAGATCCTCCAAAGAGAGTGATATACTGTCTGAAATGTTCTTTGCAGCATATTTAATACTTCCTGCCATTAAGCAGCCTGAAAAGCTGGACCTTTACACACACAGACACAATGCAAATCCATTTGTAATCAAGGTGGTATTTGTCCAACATCAGGAGTGGCCTGTTGATCTCTCGAGGATCATTGAGATTTTTTTTACATCATAATTATCTGACTTCCATAAACCTGCTGAACATTTGCACAAAATGAAAGGGCAATTCCAAAAATCTGAAAATGTTTCCAGTACCAAGTAAAAGGCTGATTATTAGAAGGGCATCAGACACCCAAAGAACATGTAAAATATACATTTTAAAAAAGAGGAAGGGAGCAGAAATGTGGACTGCCCGGCAGGAAGCAAAAACATGGGCCGTCTGAGGTTCCCGAGTACCAGTTTGAGAAACACTGCTCCTACAGACGCAGGACTGAAGAGGGTCGCTGCTTAGGTGCGGAGGAAACTTGAGCTAAAGGTGCGCTGAACTGCACACCAGCTGAAAAGGAATTAACTGCGTATTTCCTGCATACAGACATAACTTTGAGAGACTAACACGAGATAGCTAGTGGGAGTCACCAATACAGGATCCAGATGGCAGAAAACTGTACATCATCCCATGTCGGATCATGGGGAACAACCACCTAGTATAGAGCTGCTCTGCAGCAGATGAGCAGGCTTAGAAGGATAACGGGTAAGAGCTGCACGTAACCACGTGTACACAGACCCAGAAACTGCCAGAACACCAGCCAGTGGCCCAGAACAGTGTCTTTTCAGGGAGGGGACATCAAGGCTACACAACACAATCTAATTATAGTACCTCTCTACTGGATGGAAGTCATCACACATCACAAGTCATGTAAACATCGAAATGGTTTCCAGGTCAGAGGTACCACCACCCTGACCACCGGGGGGGGGGGGACAGAATTTTGTAGACTTTCATAGACAAAAGGCAAACTGACATTTTATACGGCCATCAATCTACTTTAATTTTGTATCTGTGCATAAAAAAATACAGCAGAGCCCACTCTTACAAAATAGTATTTCAGGTATAAATCATTTCCCCAGAACATATCTGCTATGTTCGTGTGCATTGGTTAGGTAACACACCTGGACAGGCACGTGACTTTTTTTTTTCTCTTAAGACGTTTTACTGTGGTTCCAGTGAGCTCACAATGACAATGCTGGAGATTAACAGATGGAAAGAGACCCATTCGGTTTTATGCTGGTTTCGCCACACAGCAAAGACATTACCCTGCATCATGGCAACGATGACAGATATGCAAGACACACCCGCGCCCATTCCACAGTGACGGCGTGACTGAATTGAAAAAGCATGCCTGACGAGGGGGGGAAAAAAATACTAACACTCCACCAGATCTGTCATTTCTCATAAAAACGTTCCAGTTTTACAATGGGCTGCAAATGGTTTCAATATGGTCTGATGAAAAATCTAACAAGGAAAAAACACTACAAAATCTGCAAGAAAAATAGATATATATATAAAGACCAAATAGAGACATTGTTCCAAATGACTACCGTTTTCTTCTGGGTATTCAAAACCTGAATACTTTTGGTTTCCTGTTTGGTGGTGTTCCCCAGTCTCGCTCGGGGAATCTTGTGACTTTGAGCTCACAGCAGCGAGTCTGGAGCCTGGAACCATGGCCTGAACGGCCAGACGCGACCTGTCACCTGGCATTAGCTGAATGTACAGAATGTCACCAAGCTGTAGGTCGTTACTTATTGCCTAAAATCCATGAGCTTTTTTTTTTTTTTTTTTTTTTTTTTTAAATATTAGGCCCGAAAACGGGTTTGCGCTATCAAGTCAGAATCATTTGGATGAACCAAGCCAGTCTAGTGAGAATAGAATGTTCTATGTCAGGGCATAAGGAGTCAGAACCAACTAAATCAACTAAGTTAAGGCGAAGCGAAACCTCCCTCTTACCCATAAGGTTGGTGGGAGAGATCAACCAGTTTGTCACAGGAAATCACTGGTTCATCTATGACTACAACCATCCCCTCGAATGGAAGTGTGTTTTTATCCACTACAGAAGGTGACAATTTAATTTTTTTTCAGAAATCATTAAAATTTGTCTGAGAAGGTAGGTAGCACTTGTGCGAGGGCACGGCGCAGTGCACAAACACGAGGACGGATCACAGCCTGGGTCACTAAGCTGCACGCCAGAGACGTGCACGCCGGGCACTGCTCCGGACGAGCCACCACACGAGCGTGGGCGAACAGACACGATCTCCACTTTTCACTGCCAAGTATCTTTGAATACTGATTACCTGGGTTAATTGCTCACGATTAGAGACCCAGACACATGTCTGCAAGTGACAGCATGCCAAGATGCATAGCCAATGGTTTTCATTAGTGCATCACTGTCATTTGGAGAGAAAAAAAAAACAAAAACCCTGAAGGGATGCTGGTGCCATTTAGTGAACGAATTCACTAAGGGCTCCATAAAGTGTCCAGTTCTTTTCAATTTAAAGTAGAAAATCCTGTCAATTTGTAAGGACATTCATTTAAATAAAGCTTATTAAATTACTGTGATTCTTTACATTTTTTTTTTTTTTTTTGGAAATTTACAGTGTCACAGGTCTTTACAGGAACCAATAAGTTATTGGCTACGTCAGACTCTGCACTGAGCTCGCACACTAACACGTTAGTGCGCCTTGCTCCACTGCTCTCAGTCAGCCCGATAACGGGCACTCAGTAGTGCCACCCCGAGGCGCCCTCTAGCTGTCCCACACGGAGACCGTCAGCCACGGACAGAGACCAGCCGCCTCTGCGGACGCCTCGGGTGCAGAATGTGATCGTAGGCCGGGGACACGTTTCTAGGCACTGGGGAAACGAGCAGGACTCAAAGCTGCACACGGAAGAAGGACAATGTAAAAATACATAAAATAAAAAATAAATACCAGCTCTTTGATGGAATCTGTGATCGAAGTTTCTCTTTTTTGGGGCCCAAAAGGGCAAGGGTCAGAGGTCAGGGCTGGCATTCACGAGGCCAGGATGCCGCGGGGCATGATGTCCGAGCCGTAGCGGCGCGTGATGGGCACGTGGCACTTCCCCTTTGTCCCCACATTGGAGTTTGCCAGCTGTGCCCTGGCACAGGGGCGACTACGGGTCCTGCCGGGGGTGTTTCTCTCCGCCAGCCCGCGGGGGGGCACGTCCCGGTCCACCTGGACCTGCCTCCCACTCTTCTTCGGGATCTTGAAGGTGCCCCAGTTTTTCAGGACGGCGGTGGCTGGCCGCTGTGAAGCAGGACAGGGATTGGCCCGCAGAAGGCCATTGTATTTAGAGCTTGTGTGTCCGGGCCGGGGGGGGGCGGCCTTGGGGGGGGCCCGCTCCCGAAGGCCACTGCGTCTGTCTGATGCCAGCTGGGCCTCGGGCCCCCTGGTGACTCGCCTGTGGCTCCTCGTGCCGCTGAGCTCGCGCTCGTGGTCAGGCGGCCTCCTCGCCGAGCCTCGGAGCCCGCCTCCTCCTCGGTCCTGACTCTGCGGGGCCGGTTCGGCGCGTCTCCCGGGTCGCAGTTTCACAGGGTGCGAGGAGACCCAGCTGAGGAATGTGGCATCCTCTGAACTCCGAGAAGACCCTCTGGGGGCTGACAACCGAAGCACCAACAGCGGTTACTCTCGAGCAACAAGCAAACCCAACACGCAGGCATTCAGTAAGATTCCCCCCTCCCCAGGAGAGTCAGTCTCCTCACCTGCCCTCCGTGGCTCCTCCAGGAGCCTGATGCGGTGCTGGAAGATCTGCTCCTGCACCCGGCACAAGGAGCGCTTGATCTTCTCCCGGCGCGTCACCATATAGGTCAGGTTACGTACCTGCGGCACAAGTCACAGCATGGAAACATGACAGAGAGAGAGACCCACGCAGGGCAGGGGGCGGGAAGTAGAGACCTGCACTCCCGAGGGAGTACCGCGGGACCCGAGGGACCCAACGCACTGAGTGCGGCGCGGGACAAGGTCCTCATGTATGTGCGGGTTGCGGGAGAATAGAATTAATCGCGGGACTCCCGCAAAATGTAATTATCTTAAAATTAATTTATTAACAATTAGGCCTACTCATTTATCTACTGCACAAAATCAAGAAGAATGACTAAATTTAAATAATTTACAGGCGAATCGTCTACAGAAATTACAATTGCCGCGTTCTGAGTGCCGGGGGACGTAACCGGACACCCCAAGAAGGAATCAGCCTGGTGCTTGGACGGGATGGCATGTTCTGAAAAGCTCCTCGTTCGTGTCCATGTTCATCATTCCATTTAATTAAACTAAAATAAAACGAAACATATGTTTATTTTCCGTTTCTTTTTTATATATATACTCAAAAGGGAAGCAAGTGAAACAAATAACAGAGTAGCGGGAAGAAGCGGTAAAAATAAAACTACTTATATGTTTACCTGCGGGATTTTGTGGGCGGGAGCGGGACAAAACTTGAATATTGTGCGGAAGAAAATAATATATATTTTTTGCGGGAGCAGGACAGAATCTTGCGGGAGCGGGACTTAAAAATCCGTCCCGCACAGGTCTTTAGCGGGAAGCCCCCACCATCCAAGTACTATGGTAGGTCCAGCCTGCAGCAGAGGTTGGATGAAGCTCTGTCATGACTAGCCAGCAGTATGCTGGCCACATCACAGCTGCTCATAAGGAAGAGGAGCTACCAGTTCCCACTGGCTGAAAGGAGGCTTGGTAAAGTAAGCGGGAGTCCGGTACAAGTGTGCGTGGTGCGGGAGTCCGGTACAAGTGTGCGTGGTGCGGGAGTCCGGTACAAGTGTGCGTGGTGCGGGAGTCCGGTACAAGTGTGCGTGGTGCGGGAGTCTGCTGCTGCTGGGATTTCCAGCTCAGTTACATCGTCGTAAACCTGCACCCTCATGTTTTTTCCCCCCATATTATATTCACATAAATGAATATGACAATGCCAAACCAACACCGCACAATGGGAGCGTTTTTACACATTTCAATTTGTCATGGCAGACTGAAGGCAGATTCGAAAAACAAGCTAAAATAAACTCCACACGCCTGGCAAATTCAATTACTGCAGTGGGTGTGATGAGCTGTTAAGCGGCTTTCCCCCCGGTCTGAGTGCTGCAGACTCCTATGGGGCCTTCCCCAGTGCAGCTGCCTGCGCACACGCTGGGCCCTCACGGTCCCCGAGGTGCCTGGACCTTCTCACATACACAAGCCGCACATTTCACACAAAAGTATTCAGGTTAGTTTTATGTGTTTGTCACTCACTGTTGCATTAATTAGGCCTCACACATATTTCACTTATTTCAGACATCAAATAATAAAAAAAATGAAGAAAGCCAAGCAATTAGGAACCATTGGAAGTCCATATATTGTATTGTATCCAAAATAATAAAAGGAACAGTTTGATAAACATACTTTAACTGTATAATAGAATAGAAAATATTTTACTATTTCACACTCACTACAACGTGCTGTGAGCTTCCACCAAACCCTCACTTCCAAGCCAGAGTATAATTTTTTTCATTGCATGTCTCTCCGAAAAAAACAAAACAGCTGTGAATATTACCAGAGCAAACGGATCAGCACCGAGGCGCTGAAGACAGGTGATGAAGGGGCAGGAAAAACTAGAAACTAATTAGCAAGGAAGTACTGAGCACTGAAGCAATGCCTAACGTGGAAGAGGAGTCCAGACAGAGCTGAGACGAACTCTCTAACCATTAATCATCTCAAATGTGAGCCAGTAAAGGTTACCCTTAATTACAATGCCGAAAGCTTGCAGTGAAAATACTACGAGTCACACATTGCAAGTAATCATAAAGGGTTGACCTTTATTAGTCAGACAGACAATATCACTGGAATAACCACTCAATCAAAATAACATTTCTCTAGCAGAATATGCCTTTAAATCGTTTTCTTTTGTACTTTTGGGATAACAGCATGAAGGATGAAGAAACTAACAGAAGAGAATGAAGATATTTGCCAGACAGCTGTGTCTGCAGAGATGTCGCTTGATTTTTCACGAATATGAGCAATTTTAATTCTCTAATGACAGGTGAGGAAACTAAGCAAACAATGACCCAAGTGGAAGAATGATAATTACACACTTTAAAGGTTATAAAGCATGCAAGGTGCTATTTATGTAAACCCTGCGGGCAGCAAGTCGTCAATTACAGCAAGAGTAACGTTCCATCCCCTGACTGGTTATCTGAGTGAAAGATCCAGAGAGACCAGGAGCAGATGCCAGCGCAGGGCACAAAGCTGGGGCTCACCTTGGACGGGATGCCAGTCATAACAGAAATGCACAACACTAACCAACCAGCAGTGTTTACAGCTGCTGTCACACCCTGAAAAATGCGGAGGAGAGAGCACAGGGCGGGCGGGCACAGCTTTACTCCCGTTACTACAAGCTCTGCTTTAATGTTCACATCTCCGTTTTCCACTCTCTTCAGACCTCTCTCCATTATAAGTGCACACAGTCATCCCACTGGTTTGGCCTTGTCTGCCTTCCTGATCCACAACCTTGTCTGGACTTTCCCTGATTCCCGAGTAAGCATCATGCATACTTTCTCTAGGTACCTCTACTGATGAGGTCTTCCTCCTCAGTGAAACTGAGTAAGTTCACTGTTGTGCATTATCCCTGCATCTGGATTAGGCTCCTTAATTCTGCAACATGCAGAAACACAAATACTCTTCCCACATCGGCCCATTCAGGCAAAATAATGCAAAGGAGCAGGACGAGCTCTCAGCCGTTTCACTGGACCATTGATTGCTGATCATGTGACCTGGCCACAGAACCCCACCCTTCTCCTCCCGGACCCAAAACCCTCCTGCCAGATAGCGGCACGGCTACTTACTCGCTCCAGGTCCTGCCGCAAGTGAGTGAAGAGCCTTAGTCTACAGAGAAGCACGTCCTGCTCCTTCTTGGCCAGGTTGTCCTCCTCGTCCCTCTTGGGTGTAAGAAGCGGGCGGTTGAAGTTTGCTCTCCTCCTCAGCTTCCAGTACTGGTACAGGAAGTCCACAAGCTCCTCCGACAGATGCAAGCCCCGGGCCACATCACCCGGCACCACAAAGCGGAAGAACTCATCCTCCAGCTGCTGTAGTTTCATCTTGCGGCCGCTGCCAGTCGGCTCATACTGGCCTCCGGCCTGCAGGGGCGCCACGATCACGCCCCTGCCATCCTCGCGCCTAGCCCTCAGCTTGCTGGAGTGCTTGAGGCAAAAGGACCTGAATTTGACCTCGTCGGTCTCCGTGAGGATGGTGTTCATCTCCAGGCCGCAGTGCAGGGCGCAGGTGACGTGGAACGCTGTCCGGCAGTTCTTGGCAGAGCACTGAGACGAGGAAGGTGATTTTTAACACGTCAACAGGGAAAGCGAGTGGGGTCATCCTTAAAAACCACAAACTCATCAGACGTGAATCTTACTCTACTTGGCAATTACTGGTCAGGATACACAAGTTTGGTCTTCTCTGTATGACACTTTAATATATGGTTAAATCAATTCAAACGTCAGATGCAGAAGCGGTGTTTAAGCACTGCTTCGCACGCCCCGCATCGATTCTCACTACTCCAGCTGACACTCCTCCACGTTCAGAGCCTTGAGAATGGGCTCCATCACGTACACGCTACCGAGGATGGGGCACGCCATACCTGGATGCACGCCCCAGTCTTATCCTGACACAGGCAGCAGAGCAGAGCCCAGCGGTTGCTGGGGATGTGGGACACGTTGGTGATGGGCTCCATCATCTCGGGGTTCCCGATGCTCACCTGCAGCGACGGGAACCGAACAGGCGTGACCCGAGGCTACAGCGAGCATCACCTGCGCACCTTCCAGACCCAAACTCTCTGCATTATTCACAACATGCTGAATGTTGTCTTGTACCCAAAACCAAATCCGTGAACTCGGCATCTCCCACTAAGCTCCTGTTTCAGAGGATCACGAATTTAATACATTTTAGATCAGAGAGGGATAAATATGTATGTCATATCTCATACAGCCAAAGATGTTCCATAAGACTGGACCCTCAGTACATTGCTACATATGCCTTTTGATTACTCATACCAAGAGACCGCCAAACAGACCCATGTAATTATTCACCACCTTTAACCTTCATCTTGTTTCCAGCTTGGCACTAAGATAACAAGCTGACAAAGAGACCCAAACTGCACCAAACGAGTCACGCTTGAGGCGTCGTCAGTGGATTAAACACGGGCGAGCGGCGGTTGCCACGGTAACGCTTCCGGATGCGGCGCTCACCTCTGGGATCCAGAGTGCGCAGCTGACGTGGACCCACTTGCTGCCACTGCGCGTGGGCTTCATGGCACCCCCCTTCTGGGGGCAGAGCTGGCATTTGGGCGCCACACCCAGGGCACAGGTCCGACAGAGCCAGCTGCCCTCGGGCACCTTCAGGATGCCATAGCACGCCTAGCGACACACACACACACACACACATAGATGAACGGGCCTGCACTAGACACAAAAGCAGCTTAATCAGCTTTACACTACTCTGTTTCCTGCTGACAGACAGGTATCCAATCATGAGTAAGAGGCATGACAAAGCAGACACAGGGTGAGTCTTGTAACCAATCAGGAGCAAGAATGACAAAGCAGACACAGGGTGAGCACTATAACCAATCAGCAGCAAGAGGCATGACAAAGCAGACACAGGATGAGCACTATAACCAATCAGCAGCAAGAGGCATGACAAAGCAGACACAGGGTGAGTCTTGTAACCAATCAGGGGCAAGAATGACAAAGCAGACACAGGGTGAGCACTGGAATTTCTGCAGAACTTCCTACTTGATGGACACAGATGTTGCACTTGTCACAGAAAACCATCTCGTTGCCATCTTCTCCGTCAGGAGACTGACAGACGTCGCACACAACATCTTCGTCATATTCGATGCCCAGCCCTTCCTCCGTCTCCATGGCGTGGCTCATGTTGTCGTAGCAACGCTGCTCAAACTCCTCCATGACTCGCTCCATCGTCAGCTCATCGATGTTCTGCAGTCCTGTGAGGTTTCATGCAAAATGGTAGAGGAAAAAAAAAATTAAAAATCAGGCATAAAGTCAACTGTCACCTCACAGTGCAACATCCTTTAAAATTAGAGGTGTCATCACACCAGGTTGAAGTCAGTCTGTATCTGTACAATAGTGGTAACCAACATAACAGAAATGTCACATAAGGCCTAACTTTGAAATAATTACATCACAATTAACAGTAACCACACAAGTGTGAAAGCAAATTAGCAGTAATTGCCAGCTATAAAAAGTCTGACAACTGGCACTGATCTGTGGGCCCTCAAGAGCAACAAGGCACGAGCTCCAGAGAGACCAAACAGTCAGTGCTCCAATACACCAGAGGGAACACCCTCAAAAACCATGACAGTATGTGATAAACATGGACAAACTGCATCGGCAAAGAGGGACAGCAGTGCCAAATCAAAGCTCACCTACAAGGACAGGTGGACATTTAAGAGGCCGTCTGCCAAAACACCACAAAAGTACAACCGCCATATCTTCCCAAGAACCGAGACCCAGTGTCGACAAAAGCTGAACATCAGGAGCATCACAGAGCCGCACCAGCGGCCAAAGTTGTGGATACGCCTAGCAATTTTGGCATTACGCTTGAAAAATTACTACATGAATATCAGCGGTAGTGTTTATAAACAATCAAGGGATGTTTACAAATATCATGCACTGGATGATTAAATAAGTAACTGGAGTAACTGGAATAAGGTTCTGCAATCTCTACAAATTGGACGTGTCCCCACAATTTTTTGCATCTAGTGTAGGATTTATGGCTGGACTCCCATCAGGAAATCACAAGTTTAATAAGACCAGTAGACAAAGATACATAACCAGGATAAGGAACGCAGAACCCAGACCCCCAAGCAATGGGGAAAAAAGTAATATGATCTGATGGGTCAGCTTTCACCCTCCATTCCAGATGAACATCAGCGGAAGCCCATGGATGCCTACGGCCCACGATGTCTGTTGGTACCAGAGTACTCTGTACAATTACATAATGGCCATTTTACAGGACCAGGTACTCCCTATGGCGCTAACACTTCTCTCATACTGCTCCCACATACACAGACTGACAAACACCAGAGTCAAGTAACGTCAATGGCCTCCACAGTCACCATACCAATAAATCTTCTGGGGAGGTTCTAGAACAGGGTTCTTCAAATCTGGACCTCGATTCCAAATCCAGGCCTTGTTTTCAGTTCTCCCAGGTAGTTAGTTTAAT